CTTCATAACCAAATAATACATCCATCAGAAGAATAAAGTGTCTTTCGTTTACAATCTTCATAACTAAATAATACATCCATCAGAAGAATTAAGTGTCTTTCGGTAAGAATCTTCATAACCAAATAATACATCCATCAGAAGAAAAACGTGTCTTTCGGTTACAATATTCATAACCAAATAATAAATCCATCAGAAGTATAAAGTGTCTTTCGGTTACGATCTCCATAACCAAATAATACATCCATCAGAAGTATAAAGTGTCTTTCGGTTACAATCTTCATAACCAAATAATACATCCATCAGAAGAATAAAGTGTCTTTCGGTTACAATCTTCATAACGAAATAATACATCCATCAGAAGAATAAAGTGTCTTTCAGATTACAATCTTCATACCAAATAATACATCTAACAGAAGAATAAAGTGTCTTTCGGTTACAATCTCCATAACCAAATAATACATCCATCAGAAGAATAAAGTGTCTTTCGGTTACAATCTTCATAACCAAATAATACATCCATCAGAAGAATAAAGTGTCTTTCGGTTACAATCTTCATAACCAAATAATACATCCATCAGAAGAATAAAGTGTCTTTCGGTTACAATCTTCATAACCAAATAATACATCGATCAGAAGAATAAAGTGTCTTTCGGTAATAATCTTCATAACCAAATAATAAATCCATCAGAAGTATAAAGTGTCTTTCGGTTACAATCTTCATAACCAAATAATACATCCATCAGAAGTATAAAGTGTCTTTCGGTTACAATCTTCATAACCAAATAATACATCCATCAGAAGAATAAAGTATCTTTCGTTTACAATCTTCATAACCAAATAATACATCCATCAGAAGTATAAAGTGTCTTTCGGTTACAAGTTAATTTATTTTAGTTATCGACGTCCTTCATAAAAGCATGTAAAATTTGCAACAGGGTAAATAATTTTGGGGGTTTGCATGGTAAATTCATTTCACAGATGGGTTTTCCCCAAGAGGTTGTTTTCAATACTTTCGTAAAATGACAAAATCTCGTTCAAATCAACTGGCCTGTCTTGGTTGTATACAACCTTAACTGCACAGTGACTTCATTTCAATGAAATTATGGTGCCAAACAAGAAATTTTCGATTTTGTCACAATTATTCATATTTCTCTTAGTGCTTGACCGATTTTGACACTAGCCATATTTGAACTCTCGTAAATATATCGGATGTGGTATTGAAATAGACGATTCCTATCCTTCCAGAGCACCTGATATTCCGGTGTTGGTCAATTTGCATTGCCTTTAATTTTAGTTTCACTTGTCTTGTTGTTTATTTTTTGTATGTTTGGGTAGTAATATCCTCTGGATTTCAATTTTAACCCCCCCCCCCTTTTTCCCCTTCCCCAAACCACCATCCCACTACCACACATACACCCATATCACGTATTCTAAATGTCATCTTTAATGTAATGGACCTATTTTCGTGTGTAAAGGTAGGCATCGAATTAATAAGACTTTGTCTACAGAGAGGGTGGTAAAGGGTTATTTTCGTGCAATGTGTTTTGCCATTTTTATTTCACGTGCAGCCGTGAAAAAGGTTCGTTATTCACCGTGTTTCGTGAAATCGGTAAAAAGATCAACGTGCAAGAAATTTTTAATTGTTCGTTCATCGTGAAACGGCAATTTTATTTCGCGTTCTTTCGTGAAGATACCCCCCTTCCCCCTTTACGCCCCTCTTCAGACTGTCATCTTGGTACTTCCATAAAATTTTATGATGGTTTAGGCTGAAATAAAAAACACGGTTAAGGCTTACTTAAATACCCTATTTATTTGCCTCAAAATGCCTACCCTGACGTTCCATTAGCGCTCTTAATGTCTACCCTGACGTTCCATTAGCGCTCTTAATGCCTACCCTGACGTTCCATTAGCGCTCTTAATGCCTACCCTGACGTTCCATTAGCGCTCTTAATGTCTACCCTGACGTTCCATTAGCGCTCTTAATGCCTACCCTGACGTTCCATTAGCGCTCTTAATGCCTACCCTGACGTTCCATTAGCGATCTTAATGCCTACCCTGACGTTCCATTAGCGCTCTTAATGCCTACCCTGACGTTCCATTAGCGCTCTTAATGTCTACCCTGACGTTCCATTAGCGCTCTTAATGCCTACCCTGACGTTCCATTAGCGCTCTTAATGCCTACCCTGACGTTCCATTAGCGCTCTTAATGCCTACCCTGACGTTCCATTAGCGCTCTTAATGCCTACCCTGACGTTCCATTAGCGCTCTTAATATTGAATCATGACTAAATTTCTGGTGATCCCAATATATTCAAGGTAAATACACCAATATATGCTCAAGTCACTTTTTTGTATGAGGCTGAGAAATTGGGGAAGGGAGATGTTTACCGAGCCCTTCAACAGTTTCGTGCAGAATATTGTTTGTATACTGCAGTTTAAAATGGCTAAAATTATATTGATGAAAATAAAACTTATTTTCCATCCACAAACAAACCACCAGTTGAAAAGAAAAGTGACGTGGCATGAAATTGACATTGATCGATATATCCCTGTGTTACTATATTTAGTAGATAAAGACAACAGGAAATGTTCTAGCTGCAGTATAAACAATTGCGCCAGGCCAAATAAGAAATAATTCCTACCTAACCTATTTTTATAAATGAGGAAACCAAAACACACATATTTTTTTGTTTGACCTTTAAGGATGCAAATGTCAGATTGTGTGATGTAGTCGTGCGGTTTAATGTGGATAAAATATGAAATTGTGCGAAAATCCTTACATACGAAAAATATTAATTGATGAAGTTTTTTTCATATATGCAATACATTTCTATTTATCATTGTCATACTAATTAACCACACGTTATGCCATAAATAATTGCAAGGCTACGCAACTTACACGCTTCCGTACAAATCACCGTAGTAGTAAACATTACAGTTCAATGCGGACTACATGCATATTAATAAGTATATAAAGCTTGGTTCATGAAAAAAAGTGTTAAAAATGGGGATGGGGGTCTATTCTATTATTTTTCATGATTTGGAAAAGGTTAATTCAATGTGAATATTTCCATTTGAATATTTGGTTTTAATCGGTTACTAATTACAAATTAATAATTACATAAACCTTTCATACGATTCCGTAATTTTGATTGGCCGAGGCATTCCAAATAATGTATTTTCTATTTCTAAATAAAATGCAACATCTCTGACTTTACGTATCGTGACAACATTAAAATAATACACAGAAAAAATAACGAAAGTACTGATTTGACTCGTATCTTCATGGTAATGGCATAAACATGAATTTATTAGAATTGAATGCTTCTTTTTGTAATTTTATAGGGTTGTACAAAATTTTATAGGGTTGTACAAGCGTTGACCGTCTGCACATTTTCAATATGAAGCGCATCCGCGTTTTTAAAAGTGCCTCGATCAACGATTTAACACCCCAATAAAAGAAGCATTCAATTCTTAAACAAAATAACCCGCAATATAGGTATCTCAAGGTTTGTACACATGATTTTCATATTTGAGAGTCGCACAATGTATAGATCCCCGTAAATACTTGCTGTAGGAAACGAATTTTGTCAATTTAAAGAAAAATATTAAATTTAATCGCTTTATTGGCCTTTCATATGAAAATATTTATTCCCGATTTATGTACTAAGGTTAACGGATGGTTTATCAAAGACTATTTACTTATGGTCTTGCTTTTCCTAGTGTATTCATAAATATCGATAAAGACACTTTTATGAAGTAGGTGTGACATCAAAATTTACTTGTATGCCCTTAAGTTGTCAGATTAGATTATCGTATTCGGATCGAACACGTTATTTTCCTATTCGTTGCCTCAAACGCAAATAAAGTATTTATAAACAAAAACTAAAACACATACAAAATGTATCTATGGGAAACAGCTCGCCTAGACGAGTGCAGCAAAGTTTTATTTTATTCTAGCAAAAAAAGCTGTCCTCAAATCGCTTTGTAAACACACTAAGCCGCTGCAGCATACATGTCTTACAAACATATCTACAAAGAAAAATAAAGAAATAGAATTCGTTCATATCTATAAAACAATATTTACATAATGTTCTTTCAAGATCTGCAGAAAAAACGTAAAGCGTTTACAATAATTAAAAAATTAATACAAAAAAATTTCACATGGGTGTGAGGGTGGGGAAACTTTACTGCACTAAGACTGAGCTTCGAATGGTCAAAATATGAAATTTTCAATGTAAACTTTTACCGCGAATGACCAGTCCGTGCTATCATATAAAGAAACCTTGTACTCTTAACTATGTTAAGGTGACTTATTGTTATACTAAAATAATTTAAATATTATTGTAAACATGAACACATGTTCCCAATATAACAACAAACCCATGTGCTATTGATAGTTAATAAATACATTTGTTTTATTATAACATTTTATTTGATTATTTATTTATTGGTTGATTTTAAGAACTAGATAATTCCTCTCATAAAAGACAGGATATTAAAGCTAATTATTAAATCCATGTACAAAAATTCCCGTATCTTTAGGAACACATTTTACGTACGGTACTATCTTTAGGAACAAATTCTACGTACGTTGCTATCTTTGTGAAAAAATAATGATGTCAGAGTGTATCATATGCCAAATATCTTGTCATGAATTATAAATAGTGGCTATTGACTGTTAATTGAAAAAAAAATCACTAGCGTCAATCTGGTTTATCTGGCTCTTCAAACTGTAGTAATCACAAGACCGCAATCCGAACTTAATTCGGAAGTAACCTTTGAAACGATAAACTGACAGTCTGTCTTGTTTGCATAATAAAACAAAATATCATAAGGATCTGATTTGTAAAATGTCCTTTATCTCTGGTGTCAATTTTAATATATCATTTATGGATCTATATAAGTGAAGTGAAGACCAGTAGATAAAGATTTATCTTTAACCGAACTGTATATACCTGTCAATGTCGGGTTGTTTACCATGCTCCAGTGAGCTTAGAAGTGTCAAACTTTACATATCAATCTCGCTTTGACAAACAAGGGAAGTACATGTCTTCACTTCAAACAGGCGTCATTAGTAAAGGCCGATAAACATGTTTACCGTTTAAAAAAAATATACCAAAAAAGTTATCATCGTATAAAAAAGACGTCACAACAGAGAACTTTCATTTCTTTAAAAATTAAAGAAGTAACTGCTTGGTAAAATTACAGTAAGATAATCATGTGGAATAGAACTTATACTTATAGTTTTGAAAGAGGGGAATCAACGCTCTTTCATGTGGCTGATTATGTTGTTTTTGGACTAACTCTTTTGGTTTCTGCTGGAATAGGACTTTTCTATGCAATTAAAGACAGGAACACTACTAGCGAGAAAGAGTTCCTGCTGGCGGGACGTAACTTGTCAGTGTTTCCTGTCGCTTTATCGTTACTCTCAAGCTTCATCTCAGCAATAACACTACTCGGAACACCAGCTGAAGTTTACAAGTACAACACGATGTACTGGCTTATTTCTATAGGATTTGTTATATCTGCTACTGCCTCAGCTCAAATTTTTATTCCAGTATTCTACAACCTAGGAATCACGAGCATATTTGAGGTAAGTTTGATTTTTGTGATTTATACTGCTGTACCACCAATTCTCTATTGCTGTCTTTTGGAAAGTTTGAGGCACCTCCGAGTATGCAGTCAGTCTTTAGAAATCTCCATATTTTTAATTTATACTTGCATATATTTTTTACAGACTCTTAATTGCAACGTTCCTGTAACCAGCGCATTTGAACTTGTATCGATTTTCCTCCATTGGTACACTACGTTTGCGGCCCTTGTTTTTTATAAAATATAATCATTTATCGTATTTTTGTTTTCGTGTTGACGGATTTCATGGTGGTTAGCCACAAAAATTATTGAATGAAAATACATGAATATGTATAATGTAGATAATGATATCAAGTTTCGCTATTCTCTTTTATCAGAGTTCATCATCTTATATATATATATAATAACCAGTAATCGATTTTAGATTAACGTCTGTCTTGATTATTTAAACGCGAAGCGTTTCTAGAAGTTAGATAATGAACTTATACTTTGGTGGATAGCTTTCTTATTGGCAATCATGGCACCTAGTGACATACCCTTATTTTTGTATTGATAAATACTACACAATTGTAGCCTTCCTATGCGGTCTCACTAATTAGCGACAAGAAGGATAATTTAGCGACAAGAAGCGACAAGAACACTATTTAGCGACAAGAAAACAAATTTAGCGACAAGAAATTTAATATTCTATCAATAAATAAAAATTTATAAAAAAGTCAATATCTATAGTAGTAAAGCATCACACATGTTTGAAACATAGATCTAATTGCTGCATTTATTTGTGAGATGTATTACAGCAAATATTACGTTTTCCCTGTCATATTATGATATTAATTTTTACTTATGTTTTAGAACAATTATATATATTATCTTATAATTTTCTAACACTCTCTTTGTCTTATATATGATAAACTGACTGCATGCAAAATGCATTATTGGTCATTAATTGTGCATCATTGTCCGGCAGAAAAAAAACGGACATAATTTCACGGTGAGAAACAATGAACCAACCAAGGAATTGTATAGTAAGAAATCCTTGTTGAAATCAAACAAGAGAAAAAAGGTAATTCAAATTAAAACGTAAATATTTTACATCATTTCATTTTGTGTATTGCCTCATTAAACGATATTTATCATGTTTATGCATGTACAAAGTTAAAGGTGATAATTGGATGTTATTGTAGCAATTAAAACAAAGGACACGCGTATCGCTTTTCTCATTTGATTTTTTTCTTAACATATTTTTTTTTCTTCAAAAAGGACAAATGGATTAGACACAATTTGTTTAACTTAGTAAGCCTTCTCATTTGATGTTTCACATAGTGTGTACTGTTATCTTCAATCTTTTATTCGGAGTGTTGTATTTTGGTGATTTTACTTTTTCATACAATGACTTTGCTTAAAACAGTACATACATTATCTTAAAAATATTTCGTTATATTTAATAGAAACTAGACAATCCCTTTCTTCTTTACAAATGTTTAATTTCTTCATCTATCAATATAATAAAAGTAATGAAAATCACGTTATTGCTGCCCGTATAGATGAGAAAAAAAAATGCCAATGCATATTTTTTTTAAATATATTTATTTGGAATAAGTTAGTTTAATAAGAATTATTTTAAAGTTCTTGTCGCTAAATAGTCTTCTTGTCGCTTCTTGACGCTTCTTTATCGCTTATTAGTGAGACCCTTCGTATGAGGTCGATACGAGGCTATATCGACCGGAAAGAAGGATATCGACTGAGGACAAAGTAGTTAGAATATACTAAATAATATAACTGTTACAATACATTGTACAGACTTTACAAAATATACAACCAGCTTAACTTTATACCACATCTTCTTATTTTTATATTAATAGTTTCAGGCAAGAACATTTGATCAGATACTTGATTTATTATAAACCTTTAACGTAACTGGGCTGACGTGTTTATCGAATATACCCCAAGGAAACAACTTCTATCTTAAGTGCATGGATTATACCTTATTGTAAACATTATCATTATAGTTTTCATCTGATAAAATTACCTTACGGGTATTTCTCACGATAAATGATACTTTGTTGACAAGATAGTATTATCACATGTATTGTTAATACACTTTGTTGACAACATAGTATATCACATGTATTGTTAATATGATTAGTTTAGCTATCTTTCTACATGCTGGGACTATTTTACTAACGTCAGTATAATAGTCCTTGATACATGGACATGCTCAAACACTTTTCACATGTCCTTGGCAGTAGCCGTTGCTGTCCATTATCGGAATTTTGTACATTCATGATTGTCGCATTGATCTGATTAGCGAGGCTCTTAGTCTAAATGATTTCGAACTTAACTATATATTTGGTATTGGGATTGCTAGCATTTTTGTTGAATATCGTATTTTGACCTCTTAAACTCAACTGCCATTGATCATTTTGGTTTATATAGCTGTGTGATTTCTCTTGACGACTATCTCGCATCTTTCCTTTAATGACTATTTTATATTTTATCTCAGGGTACCGTCGCGTTCAGGATTATTTGGTATTAGTAAATGACTTTAATTTCATGATCTTTTTATTAATGGAGTAACTAATTGCTATTATAGTTTGATTACATTGTCATTGTATTTATAATGATAACTAGGAATGGAAAGAATTTTGTAGCAACGGATCAGGTACCGTGAGCTTAAGAAGCGGGATCTAGCACAAGAAAGAATGGGTTAATAATAATGAATATAAAAATAATAATTATAATAATAATTAAAAACCAATTGTTCAGAGAACAATTGAAGGTCTTTCCACACCAAAGAAGATAGTTTCCTCAGACTGATGCGATAAATAAATGGTTTTGATCTGCTTTAAAGTGAACTAAAGGAGATAATGTGCTACTTCCGGTTAAGTAGATCTTACTTCCGGTCTCATATGATAGCTTCTTTCCCACTGATTCCAAAAATTTATAGTTTCTATATACTTTTGCCTGTAAACCCGGATATAATTGACCACTTCCGTTTTACAGAAAGTCACGTCTAGTCTTAAGTGATAAGTAAATGTATTTAAATTACAAAATATATGGATTCTGAGTACTTTTTATGAAAAAAGTGCAAAAATGGCTACTTCCGGTTTTCTCAAGGTCACTTCCGGTTGTCATTTTTCAAGGTCATATGTCACCTAACCTTTGTACAAGGTCATATGGCTTTATAATGAAATAAGTTGAAGTAATAATCAAATAACCTTATAATAAGACATTTCAGGGGCACTAACTCCTATAAGATGCCATTAAATTGAATCAGACCTAATGTAACAATGTAACATATCTTCATTACATAAAAGCAGACATTTTGCAGTTGTTCTGTTATATGTATCTTTCAAAGTGTAGGAGAAAATGCAAAAACAAGCAAAAGTCAACATTGAGAACTTGACCTTGACCTTTGACCTTGACCTCATTTTCTAAGTTAGGACCTAGGAGCCTCAAATAAAAAGATTCCAGGGTTATACGGTTAACGGTTGATGAGTTAAAAACACATACCGACAAATTTATTTTGAAAAGGTAGATAACTCCTATAAAATTTCATCGAATCGCTTCGATCCAAATTAGCCAAACATTTCTGAGGATGTAACCAACAATTTGTAAAAAGAATTTTGTCGATATCTTTTTTTTTTACGAAGGAGATGCACACTCCGTAACACTAGACTGTAAAAGTTTTAAAGAGTTAAACTAAAAACTCAGTCATCAAAAATTATATAATGCAAATCTTTACAAATAAAACCCGTGTTCGTGAATCGTTTGATTTGACTTATAAATTCTTCATTTCAGCGAGTTTTTTGAGATATTAAAACTCCTGTAAAAATCCGCACATTTTATGTACATAACTTTTAAGCAGACACATTTTATTGAAAGAAAATAAACTTGAATGTAAGTACAAAAACAAGTGAAAAAATGTTGCCTTAAAAGTAAATACAAAAACGAGTAAATACCCGTATGAACAATTCTACACAGAAGGCACACGGTAAGTGCATGTCTCAATTTAGGTAGAAAGTATGTTAATCGAATGTAAGTAATTATAAACAATGCGATAAAAATGAGTTTTTAGATGAGATTTAAAAGGTTATGGAATATTTAAATGGGATAGAGATACAAGGTGCCGCGAAATTAAAAGTGTGAAAAGCTGATCTCTTTACACCTCAAAGTCGTGAATGTGGCAATCCATTTGTTTATAAGCTGTCGGTTCTATTTCAAAACAACTAGACTACGAACTGGTATTCCGTTAGAACGCATGCGCAGAATGTACATTTTAACTGTGTCATTGTGCAATAAAATGCACCGGGTGAAACAGAAATCATATTTATTATGGTTTTAAAACCAATCAGAATTTCTCACGAAAGTTTGATTGGTTGCTTGTTTGCTTAACGTTCAGTGGCAAATACTTCATAAACAAATTAACAAAAGATCCAAATGGATTGTATTGCATAGCGGAGCGACAGAAGCCGGGAAGGGCGAGAATTTCGACAGATACTGAAAACTGAGGTTATGCTGGCTAGTGGCAGAGTGTTGTAGACCACATACGAAGCCCTCAAAGAATTATTGCAAGGGTATTTAATAATAAAAGGTCAGAGAGCAGGCTCTGCGTAAAATATGTATCCTACCGGACGTTGCTGCGTGTTTAATTATACATCCCGCATACCCAAACAGACGCCCAACTCTAATATGGGTTTTACCGCCAGTTGGCAGAGGTGTAGGTTCCATAATTCTATACTCCAGTCCACCATTTGGTTGTTCACGAACGGAAAAACAGACACTCAGACAAACTGAAAGATTTAAATATTCAGTTGAAAATTGTACAAAGTATGCAATTTTCCTCTTGCAAAGATTGAAAATTTCCATTCTACGAAATAAAAAAAAAAGATAATTTAAAACTTTAGCTGTTTTCTTATAATGGTTCTCAAACTTCTGGCACCCAGTTCTTGTTTCATGTTTGTGACTTTTCCACAATCCACGTCCAACAATGACTCACCA